GCTGCTGAAAGTTAGCAGTCTTTAATGCTGAGGAAGCTCAAATCCAAATTTAAACATTGTGTAGGGGGACAACCACAATGAGTCAAAACAAATTCCTGGATCTGAACATCCTTGAACTAATCATGGGAAGTTCTGATTTGGATCAATACTCTGGCCCGGATCATCCCCTATCCCAGAAAACCCAAGGGGAGTTTGCAAGGGGCCTCATGAATATCCCATAACTTTATCTTTGGATACCTGGGATGCACCAGAAGCTAGGACCATTCACTCAGAGGACCTTTGTCCAGATCCAATGGAACTGTACTACTAGCAAATATTTCCTTTTGAAATTGCTGAAGGGAATGAGTATTATAAATGAGTTAGGGTAAAAAAAAATCAGATTTTTTAAAAGACATTAAAATGTTTCTCTTATGGATAATTTGACTCTTTTTCATGGAAAACAAGGATCCTAGAAAAAAAATTACATTACTATCCAGTGGGAAGCTTTTCAATTGCTTATAAGCACTGATTTTGAATCCTTCTGTCAAGTAGATATTGAAAGGTATTGATTTAAATTCTGATGTCAGTTAAACTGCTGTTAAATCAGGAGTAACCTCTGAAAGGAATTATCACTATAAAACCACTGTGAGATTACAAACAGGCCGCAGTACCCAAGAATCATCATGAAAAGGAATTAGAGTAGTTATTTTTGCTGAAAAAGATTTTATTCTGACCTTGGGAAACTATTTTATAAGGATTTTCCAAAAGGTTACAATGTTGGGGCTTAGAGCCATGCTATATGTTTTTCTAATTTAGCTAGTAAAATGTATACTCTCGTTTATTATGCCCTGTGCTTGAACTGTATGGCTTTGGTTTCTTTTGAATGGAATGGGCTTTAACGTAATTTAATTCAGTACTTGAGACTGCTACAGAAATTACATCAATACAGTGGATGTTGACTTCTGTTGTTTTGAGAAAGATGTGACCTAGTTTGCTCCTCCGAGACACATTAAATAATTCTTTTCACTGGCTTTAATAATCCTTGGGTGGATCAACTCTTTTCCTCTGTAACGCCCAGGGACTGGATCTCAGCATTGAGGGCTTCAGAGTTTTGTTTTTCACATCCTGTTAATACTCCTCTATGGATTGACTAGCATGATTTGCCCTGAGGGTTATGGGGAGGAATAATTTGACATACATCCAAGAATCAAATGTATTAGAATCGAAGGGAGTCCATACGACATTAGCCAGGGATGCAATGGTCCAGTTTGCTGCTACCACCATTTTTATCAGTCAAAGGATGTGGTCCAAATGATCGATGTTACACATACCACTTCTAAGCAAATATTCTTTGTATGAATTACTTAAAAAATAATTCTTAACCTTGTTCTTGTGGTGAGTATATAATTATTTGACTTACTACAAAAGTACCAAGTACCCGGATTTTCTGGAAAGACAAATTAACCGTTTTTATCAAATGCACTTTGTGTTAGGTATTGTCAAATGTTTTACAATTGTCACAATCAGTTGTAAACTTCAGACCAAATAAAAGTCCCCAAATCAGTCTGAATATGGGGCACCTGAATGTATATTGTCAAGTACAAACAAAAATAGCTGTCCTTACTATTCTCCTGACTGCTTATAAAAATTCTAAAGGCAACACACTTGCCACATCTTTTCATTATTTGTAAGCAGAGTCTGGATGAGCTCTTCCCTGACATCTAGTGGTGAGCTGTGGAAAAAGACTTCAGAAGCTGATCTTGTTTACATGGACACACCCACCCTGCCTAGGTGCTCAGCATGATGGGATTGCTTGCCCAAATGATCACTTGTGGCTGGTGTTGGATCCCCAGTCTCCTTGTTATTGGGGCAGGAGTAATAAAGGGTTGCTATCATTGTTGTGTGAACTGAGGGCAGCAGAACTGAACCTCTTAACCCTGCCCCTGCCTTCCACACAAGGTGGGAGGTGAACTCTGCGGGTACAGAGAAGGGACAGGCACGTTAAAGGGATTTTTGGGTTGCTGGACTTAAGACCCTGAGGGGAAAAGCACACTGCCCAACTTACTTGAGGTGGGTCCTTTGCTCATGGTTTGTGTTTATGAGCCCTAGTTGTGATGTTTTCTCAAATTAATGCTGAGTTAATTCCCTCATTTTATTAAAAGTTTTTGCTACACTCAGACTCTGTGCTTGTGAGAGGGGAAGAATTGCCTCTTAGAGCCACCCAGGGAGTGGTGTGTAATTGTCCCCGGTCACTGGGTGGGCGCTTGAGCCGGTTTTGCGTTGTATTGTTGAAAAGGAACCCCTAGATACTGAACCTGGCCCTTGTTGCTGCTGGCTTCACCTGGCAGAAGGGTTACAATTATTTATTAATGAAACACCATGGTTATGCCTGGCATCACAGAGAACTAGTATTAGTGGCTTGCCTTGAAGAGTTCACAATCCTAGAATTAATCCTAAATCTTAATCTTAAAAACCGTACTTAGTTATTGATCACTGAATTCAGTTGAACTATTCCCATGCATAAGTGTTTGCAGGATTAGACCCTTAGGCAGGATTCCCATCAAAGTGAATCAGTCAGTACTTCAATAGTATATTTTTAGGGCCAGAAGGGACCATCACGATCATCTAATCTGACTGCCAGCATGATGCGAGCCATGGACCTTCACCCAGTGAATCCTGCATTAAGTCCATAACTTCTGGTTGAGTGGAAGCATATCTCTTAGGATGGTGACCAATCTAGATTTGTATCAGGAATTGTGAGCTGTGAGGCAATGTGACCTAGCGATCGAGCACTGGACTGGGAATCAGGAGGCCTGGGTTTTATCCCAGCTCTGGCACTGGCCTGCTCGGGGAAACTCAAATCACTTCTGTGCCTCAGTTTTCCCATCTATAAATAGGGATAATGAGCCACTTTGAGATCTACTTATGAAAAGCACTATAATAAGAGCTAGGTATTTTTGTTGTTATTTTTATTGAGTTAAAGACTTCAAGTGACAGCGAATCCACCACATGCCCAGGTAAATTATTCCAATGGTTAGTTGTTCTTACTTGAAAATTTGCACCTTATTTCTAGTCTGAATTTGTCCAGCTTCTACTTCCAACCATGAGATCTTGATATGTCTTTGTTTGTGAGATTAAAGAGCCCCCAAATATCAGTAATCTTCTCCTTATGTAGGTATTTATAACTGGTGATCAAGTTATCTGTTATCTTTTTCTTGAATAAAGGTAATACAGTATATTGAATTTCTGTAGAAATCAATAGGAATTCTGCCTGAGTAAGGTCTGTGAGATCGGGCTCTTGGTAAACAAGGTGTGGAGGGAAAATCTATAATTTTTTTGGCTGGATAAGAAGTGTATGTGTGTGTGCTGTGGGTGCGGGATAGCAGGAGTGATGGCATGGAAGATGAGTTACAACAGAAGCAAGGAAATACCATGTAGTGTGCTTAATGTGCTGTACATACCTTCAGATTTTTACAAACAAATTAATGTTAAATAGTGGAAATTGGCAGTGTACAGAGTGAAGGCTGGGGGCGGGGGAGAGGGGAGATGGGTGTTTGTGGTGACTGGAGGGAGCTGAGAGGGTGTAAGAAGTAGCAGCACAATTAAGAAAATCCTGTCTCCGGGTATGTTTTCATCTGACAGAGGTATGTGATTAGCTTAGCTTTTCTTTACTGTAAACCAGAACTCTGAATATTCTCCAGGGGATGCAATATAGTGTATAAAGAAACCTAATGTGATGTGATTTATATGTTTAAAAAAAGAGATTGATTTCCTTAAATATTAAAGATCTGAACTCTAGGCAAGTCCTGGGAGGCGGGGGAGGGGACGGGGATGGACACACCACTAAAATTATGTGATTTGCCAGATTTTTCTATGCATAAAAACTGGTAGTATATCATTTCTCCTGGCAAATGTTTTCAAAAGTTACTAGTGATTTTTGGGGTTCCTTAATTCTTTGGAGTGCCCAACTTGAGACACCTTGATGGGAACTAATATTCAGAAAGTGCCAAGCGGCTGCCTTCTGAAGATCAGGTTTCTTTGAGGTGTTTCTAGAGGGTGTACCCAAAAATCACAAGTCTGAAATCTTGGCTGTGTTCTGTTCTGGATGTAGCTCTCCTATTGACATCAATGTGTCCAAAACAGGTGGGGAGAAGGAAGGGGGAATGTTTTGGGGAGGAGTTGCTATTGTTAGATATCAACAGGATGCACCTTTCCAAAAGGGGATTGCTCTGGGTTACACTCCTGTATAGAGGCATAATGACTGAAGTAGACTCAATGGGCCAGATGGTGTAATTTGTCAGAGTGCCACTGATTTTAATGACATCAGTAGAGGGCATCTGACCCAATGATTCTAGGAGGTCCCACAATGGTGGCATGCAGCGCTTCTGCCTATTATAGGCAGTAGCTGAAGTGTTACAATCTTGTCCTACATGTGTAACACCAATATTACAAAACTGCGTTCTTTTATATTCCACTGAAGAAACATTTATTTCTTTATTGCACCAGCAATTTGTTGTGTGTCTGGTGTAAAAGATATTCAGTGCTAAAGAAATGACCCTTTTCTTTCAGGGTCTGTATTTTTATTTTTGTTTGTTTGCTCACACCTTGTGAGCTTCACAATAGATTTAGTTTCTCACATCTCTAATAATTTAAGGTCTCACAGGACTTTTTGTTAATCGGTATTATGTATATTACAGTAGCACCCAAAATGTGCCCCCCCCCACAGAAGTGGCAGGGTTTCATTCATAGAACACAATCCTGAAAAGACTTGTGCACTGTGAGCAGTCCCATTGAAGTCAATAGTGCATAAAATTAAGCACATGCATAAATCTTTGCAGATCAGGTCAGAATATGCAGTTCAGAAAGGACATAAGAAATACTGAGAAAAGTGTTTAGTTGATGACAATAAGTCAAGTATTTATAGATATATTTGAGGGTCACTGATTTATATTAAAAAGTTGTAGTATTGCTTTTGATACAGCCTGACCAATTGGAATCTTTTTCAAGTTAGTATGGAGTGGCCTTAATGCTGGAAATAATCCTGTTGGCGGAGACCCCAGTACTGTGCAGATCAGAAAAGGATGCAGGAAATTCTGTTTACACATGTGTCTGTAGCACTGAGCAGCAAGAGCAGCCCAGCGAGCCCAGAGGGTAAGGGAGTTTAATAGTCTTGTGGTTTTACTGTTTTAATTTTTATATCTTTCTGTGGGACAGTGTGTGTGTAGTTCTCACACAGGGAGCTGGGGGTGGAAAGAGATAAGATATACAGCAGAAGTACTTAGATCTGAAAAAGGAGAGTATTTTGAGTGTGTGATTAAATTGTGCTTAACTATCTTCCTTTTACTTTCCGTTTCACCACCACTGGGTTATTTTTATCTTTGCATCATATTAAACATACCTAGTTTTGCTGTATGTATACAAATATGCTTATTTAACATAACCAGATAAGATTTTAAAATATAAATTTGCACAGCACAAGTGTGTTAAACTATCTATCTTTATTAGTAATTAAAAAATCGTAATGAGTTACTATAAATATGGCATGTTGAAGGATTATATTGTTTCTGTATGTATAAATTCAAAACAACAGTAGGAAAAGTTGGTACTGTTTGGGTCATTTTCTAAACCTCACTCAATACTGTAGAAATTTTAGTCTCAGGGGAATAGTATTGTTTGAGTTTGCTGCTCACACTAAATTTCTGTTGCGCTTAGCAGGAAGTTGTGTAATCAGAAGGAATGCTTCTGATTTAAAATGTGCAACTAGTGATAGATTTGTGATTTTAATTTCCTTCTGAAAACTATCTGGATCCAGGCAAAAATAGGGGCTAAAATGCAGTGCAGTTTTTGTTTGTTTGTATTTTTAAAGTGTGGTGTAACAAAGCAGAGAACTATTGTAATGTGATATGTTGGCAATGGACAAAGATATTCAGTTTGTCCATTATTTGAAATAGTAGAATCCCAGATGGAATGTGAGTGTGTGGATGTCCTGTCACCGGGGAGGACCTGAGGGGCAAATTCCTAAAGTAATGCAGAGCAATTTAATAAATGCATAATAATACATTTAATAAATGCATATAGCAGACTGTTCTAACTACCTATCTGTTAGATACAACAAGAGTACTTGGGTTTTTATCTTTTCATTCTCACTGTTTTCATCACCATCATGTTAGTTTGTTCCCCACAATCGTCAGTGTTGATATAAAGCAGCTAACTTTTTTTTTTGCTCTAGTGTAACTTACACTGGGAATACTTTGTATTTTTGAACACTGTTATTGCAATTGTTTGTCTACTGCACTGAAGATATAAAGCACTATATAAATGTTAAGTATTATGAATGGGACCTGTTATATGCTCTTTACATACTCAGACCTTCCAACAAATTCAATGGGAGTTCAGGGAGTGCAAAGAATGATGTATGAAGCCTATTACCTATCTATTTTTCTGCCTGTCTTTAACTCAATCCAGTGCTCGTAAATTATTTCTTTTACAGATCACCTGCATATTACTTTTTTATTTTATTAAAAAAATTAGGGACCCTAATCCAGTTGATGTTGAAAACAGTTAATCTACTGTCATTTACCTCAATAGATGGGCTTCAGAGTCTTTGATTAATTTGAGTAGATTGATTAATTTATTAATATTTATTTACTAATCTTACTAATAATTATTTAGCTCCACAAGTATATGTAGCACTTCATGAATCATAGAAGAGATGTTCCCTGCCCTAAAGAGTTTTGCTGCCCAATGGTCATAATGAGTATATTGCCTTAGTGATCTCCTCTCCTAAACAGAAGGAGGCATACATATTATTGTAAGGTTACTGCTGGAAAATGCTGACTTCTTAATGACAACTACTTTCTGTGAAAAATATCCTAGTGTAATGTGGTGCATGTCCAATAATGTCAGTTTTGAATTCCTAATAATCTGTTGGAGCAACCCAACTATGTATTGTCCTTTTAAATATTGCTTTTCATCCATTTCCATTTGCCCTAAATCTATGTCAAATCACTTACTGATTGCTAATACTAAATGAAAAAGCTGGCAGATTAGAACAATTTATAAATGCTCACATTCGGTCTTCTTGGCAAAAACAAGTCTGCCCCAAATCCTCAGTTTTCTGCACTTCTTATGACTTTCTTTTCTTTGTAAATCATGTGTACATGACATAATTCTCTCTAACGTGCATACTGCAATTTGGGAATATATTGGACTGAATTCACACCCACTTTCACATCAGTGGTGCCCTGCTATCCTCTGCTGGCTGTCCTGCTAAGGAAGGTCATATTGTCAAGTGTCATCAAAAGTCTGAACAAGCCACCTGGCTGTGGTCCTTCCCTTATTAGCACTGTCCTGATTACATCTAGACAAAATTTCTACCACAGTTGGTTATACAGCATGGTTCAACGGCATGCAAGCCTGCATATTCGAGGGTTAAATTAAGGCTACTTGATATGTACCCTTGCTCTAGAGCAGCGGCTCGCAAACTCTGATTTGATTCATACGCCACCTTCTTAAAAAATTGTTGATAGATGAGCTTGATGTTCCACCAATTCATTTCACCAGTGGTACATGTACTGCAATTTTGGGATAATCCCATGATGATAATCTCATAAGTGATAGGAATATTAATTGCACTTGTTATATTTATCTGAAATGCTATACTCTGGTAAAGTAGGGGGGAAAAGAGCGGCATGGAGGGGGAGTTCGAAATATTGTATAACAGAGCACAATCAGAGTCCATCAAAATTCAAGCAGTCACAGAAGCAGGTAAATTTTTTTCCAAAGAAGGGTTCATATATATGAATGATTCCATAATATATTTTATAAAGTTTCAGTTTCCACTTTCTTTGTTACTAACTGTAAATTAATTTTCTCAAAGTTCTATGCCTTCATTCTTATTTTGCTGTTCATGTGGTCTTCTTTGTACTTCTTTTTCCTTCCCCCGATTTCCAACTTCCCCTTTACTGAATACACATTACACCAAGTCTTTCTCTACTAAACATAGACTTCCCATGTTTTGTCCACTAGAACTATTAAAAGAAGGCTTCAGAGGATGCTCATCTCAGCCTTGTGATGCCTCAACCAAAATAATTGAAATCTTACCTTCCAACATTTTTTTTCCAAATAACTCATGTGTGTGAGAAGAGCAAGTAACTCATCACTGTGCTTTAATAAAAACAAATTCTACACTAAAATAATCCTGAAATACATTTTCATTCGGACAATTAAACAGTATGCTTGTAACAAAGCTACTCAGTTACTAAGCTGCATTTTCCCAAAAGACCACAGGTTCAAGGTAAATGTTCAAACTAAGCTTCGAAATATAGGCAGCAACTGCTTGCAGCTACCTCTACGTTACAAAAAAGACACAGGGTAAGTAGTAACACCCTGTCTGTTAGTTTGTTGTTAACAAACTTATTCTTAACAAAATAAGATATCTTTAAAAATACATGAAAGGTTT